CACAGTTCGACTCCCTGGACTGGCCCATCTGATGATCTTTGCCATGCCACTGTAACAGCTAACGAGTAATGAACTTTTAAGTGGTATTTCAAATTGGGCACTTGTTGCTGGAAATGAATTTGCTTTAAATTATCTAAATCTGCTTTAAATAATCTGCGTTAATTTGCCACTTCCAATTATTACGCAACTCGAATTGTTCACCATCCTCGGTCAGCTTCAAATTTGCATTATCCCAATGCTGTCGACGGGTTGGCTTGTTAGCTGACTCTCCCATTCATTTGCAGCCACGACATACGCGGCGTATACGCAATGTGACAAAGTGGCAGCTGCAATTTGGTGTGCTCGTATAGTTCTAACATTAATGAGCAGTCCATTGACTTGCTCAATGACTGCGAGAAGGTAATATTACTATGTTGTGCTTGGCTACACGTTAAACAAATCTCTAAACATAATACTTTGGCGTTGTAAGAATATAGTTTAGCTGTTCTGTAGTTGATTGATACATAATTTATTAAAAATTGCCTCAAAGGTATTTTAAAGAAATATAACTTATGGCACTTTTATTTGAAGTGTACGCAAATGAACTATAGTCACTGAGTTCAACTGAGGCATCTCCATTAGGGGCACTCGTCTTGGACTCCGAACATTTTTTAGTGCGTCACTGACACAGATTGCACCCAGTCGACATTCATAAAAGTTGAAGTCCGAACCTTTCACTTTTGTAGAATAACTTGTTCGGGCGCCAAACAAACAAACCTCGCCGACAAACAAGCACAATCAGACAGACAGGTGGGGAAGGGGGCCAAAACAATTGCTGGACAAGATGTTTTCTCAATCAGCAGCAGATGCAACCACAATTACCGGACAGCTGTCTTCCAACTGCAGCTACCAACGCGTTTGGTTTTGGTCACAAGCTGCTCTTTCTGGCCAACAAATCCTCCTAGTGCGATAATTAAACCTAATATTTATCGGTCTTTGACTTTAATTGCCCATTTTTGCAGTTACAGAAACCGACTTGAAACCAATTTACATACACGAACTGTCCTCTCACCTTGTCAATGTTTAATTTACGGACATTATTTGGCTGCAAATAATGCTGCAAAATACCTGGCCATTGAACCACCACCGCATAGTATTCAGTTTTATTGATTTAAGCCCAAATTGACCGAGAACGAACAGGCTGATACATTTTATAGTCGAGGGCAAACAGTCCAAATGAGCTGCCCATTAAGTCGAGTGTTAATGTTAACGTCTTCCTACTTGTGTGTCCCATAATTAATGGACTACACGCTCATTTTGCAATAGTCCAACGATCTGTCCACAAACGGCGAACAAATAGTAGACTCTTGCATAATTAACGTAGAATTAGGAATGCCAACACTTGGCTAGGGCTCTTCAAATATTTGACAGAGCCATAAATCTCCCTAAGCTTTGAGGACTCTACCCGGGACAAATATGTTTGCGGAGGTTTTGGATAATTATATCTTTGAAAACCTGCAATTAAACGTGCATTCATGGTAAATTTTAATTTTAATGTATATTTATGGCCTCTGCTTTGAACAATCTAGCATCTAATGTACAGCTCATTTTGCTGCTTAGACAGTTAAGTTCTTCAATGTGCAACTTAGTTGCTTAGAAAATTCGTATTGCACAAGAAAATATTTAAAAAATATTGCTCGTCAAAAAATGCCGTCTTAATATTAATATATTGTATTCATATGTTTTTACATTGCCATAACATGCTGACATTTACACGCATGGGCAAAAATAAAATTACATTTTTGTAAGCTGAAAGTTTCTTTATTACTGCAGAGTTGTTTCCTGCCATATGCAGATATGCACGGATGGACAGAAATGAATTGGGCGTAAATAAATCAATGACATGGAAGGGCTCGAGTGTTACCCATTCGGTGGTCCATCCGCAGAGGGAACCGGAATCGCAGCTGGAGGAGATCCGAGATCCGAGCGGCGAGATAAACAAATCGCACGAAGGGGAGACTAATTGCAGCCTGTTTGCGGAGTGGTTGCTTCTGCAGCTGCTGGCTTTGTGGGTTTTATCTTTTAATTTGCCACAAAACGCACAAAGTGCATTCAACACTCGGCTCCGCAGCGTGTGTGGGTGTGGATGTGGGTGTGCACAGTTGGATCAGCGCGTGTGTGTTTGTGCGGGAAGACCGAGCCGAACTTACTGCCCAAGCCTGGGAATCCTCTCACTTTTTTCACATGCACTCTCCATTGTAGCCGTGCATCCATGGGATGCGGCTGAGCTGACGATGATGAAGATCCCAGCTGCCCGGCCAGCTCGACTGGCTGCCTGCTGCCTGCTGACTGCTGGATATGACACAGATTACGTAACGCGAAATTAACATTTTAACACAATTCAGCTGGAAGAGAAGACGATGACGCGGCTGCAACGTCTGGCACAGCATCAGTCGGAGAAATATGACAAGGAATTTCATCTTTAATCAAGCAGACCGCATCCTAAAATACTCTTTTCAGCAAAGATTGCTCTTCAAGATCGATAAATTCTATCAATAACCATAGTTCAAGGACGGTTTTTATGGAACATTACAACTTACGACTATTTTTTATAGCATAGTTCGGTTGAATATACAAGTAACTAGATTTTGGGCGCCTAATCAAAGTCTAATATTGTCAGGCGCTTGAAAATTATAGATACCCCTTGTGAGGCATATAAATGCAAAAGAGAAAAAGCAGAAATGGAACCCGTTGTGGATTGGACTGGTGGCCGCCTCCTGTTTGGGACCTGCCCAGTTGGACGGGGATGGCTCATCAGTCTGCATCTTGACCATCCACGGCCCGGCCAACAGGGGCTCAAATATCGGGAGGATGACGGTGGCGATAATGATCACAATGACGCTGAGGACGATGGACGATGGCCAATGCATGGGCACTTTCTGGCCAAGAGTTACGCCTCTTGCAGTCAATTATGCAATTAACGATTTGCCAGCAAACAAGAAGCAATCGCGCCAAACGATCCGCGTTTCCCCCACATTACACATTAGTAGTGGACACTTTGACAAAACAGACTCAAATGGCAGACGGCAGATGGCAGATGCAAATGTTGGCCAGCAGATCGATAGTAGGTTGTGCAAAAAAGAAGAAAAAAAAAAGGGTGAAGAAGTAATGGCGATACACGTACTCGATCCACAGCTGCAGTCGTCCGCTGACAACTATGAAGTGTCATCGCCCCAAGTCAGCAATAATATTATTCCTCCCCTCGGATCTCCGAATCCGACTGATTGTTTTGCCCGCGGTGTGTTTCCCAGCAATTAAGTGATGGACTGCGATTTGCAACTCGTGCAAACAAATTTGGAAAACACTTGGCAGATATTGAAAAAGTGCATTGGAAAAGGGAATGCCATTTGTCTAGGAAAAATAAAGTGAATTATCGCGATCCAGTGACCATACATACGTATGTCTTTTATATTTGTTAGTAGAATTATGCTTTAATAGTTATTCCGCGCGAGTCACTCATAAATCCTTCCAGTTGCCCCACTCAAGCAATTAAGCCTGAGCAAGATTACCCAATAAACTTGTAGTTTTCAATCGACTTTTAACAACGGGCGACAATTACGCTTTCGAGGAAACTGCGACACACAGTCGTGGTCCCATGGGGAGATCGAGCAATTTGCTAATCATTTCAGCTGCCAATTGGCAAAAATGTTCGAAAGACGATGAGACACAAGGAAGAAATTGTCAACGATGGACGATGGCAGCGAACTGAGCGAAGGGAGCCGTCATGAGAAAATGAGAAATCCAAGTCAGCAGAAATTGTTGCCGAGTTAAGTAACCAAATAGCTATTGGTAGCCACTTTTTGGGCAACTGCATCGAAGGATGGTCAGAGCTTGGACACTGGGGGGGCTCGGTTGGAGCCACTGCATCGCAAAAGTGAATGGCAGATGAAGCTGCATTGCCTTGGGCTGAAATTGGGTAACATTGCACAGCGGTGGGCGAAACTGTCAGCAATTGTTTTTGTTTCCATCTTTTGGCAGATGAAGGAGTCCCTGTCGGGTGACTGTCTGATCTCTGGGATTGGGCAGTCATTGGGCCAACTGTGGCACTCTGTGCCTGCGTTTCCCAGCAAATGCGGCGCTGTCCACCATTAAAAAGAGTCAAAAGCTTACTTTAAAAGTGAGTTCATTTCAAGCCAGACAACATTAAAACATATAAGATATTAGAAAAAACTTAAGAAAATGATATGAATCTCAAAGAACTAAATCATTTTTAGGATAAGATGGTTTTCCAATTTATCATTTGGTCAGCTTAGGTTTTGGCCAGCTCCCATGTGCACATTTTTGGCCAACTGGCTTTCGGCTCTCTTCCTCTTTTGCTCAGCTGCACAATTGGCCATCGACTTTGGGGGCTTGTTTGACAAGTAATGTGGTTACGTGGTGCTCCCATCCCCACCCTCATCGCAATTGATTTCCTGGAAGACCACAAAACGCTGGATGGCATCTTCAGACGACGAAGGCGAAGGCGACGACTACAACGACTGGTACGCAGACGCAATGGCAATCTCGTTGGATCGCAAAGGCTTCAGCTGGCAAGTGGATAGGTTCGGGGACCCCTGTACCAAGTACGGACCACATGCACCGCATAAATCTTTTCTCATTTACTTTTGCCGAAACTCGGCTCGTGCAAGTTTATTGTAAATAGTGTCTGCGCCTTGCACCGCGCGATTATGTGAGCATTACATGCCATTTGACACGCTGCCACAGCCCCAAAATACGCCAACAGCCCAAAAAAAAAACACAGAAAATTGCTTAAGAAGTTAAAACTTCAAGCACACTATCTTATGTAAAAGCATTTTATGAAACACACTAATAGCCGTTGGCTCAAGCAAACCTAAACAAATCTTAAGACATGGCTTTGCTTTATCCACTTTGACGTTAGAAGTGTAGAACTCTTCATTATTGGTAGCTAAGAAAGCTGCTATTTTTTCACTGAGCCGTACAAAATGTGAGATTACCCACTGCTAGGGTATACCATCAACAGTGAGGAGCAGGAAGCCAGCCTGGCACGCTTGCTCCCCATTGACCCCAGATTTTTCTCCGGCTGTTGGGAGCAAGAAAAATAGGGGAAAAAATGCAAAATCAAATTCAAGATTGCTGCTTCGACAGCTGTCGTCATCGTGGTTGTCGTTTCCACAAACTCCGGCCTGCTGATGGCTCAGTTTGAGCCAGGGCTTCGTCTTGGGTCTGAGCTCCCTCGGAGCAGCCAACAAGTGGGGCTTGTCATTGACTGCAGATCGAGGCACTGGCAAGGTGCTGCGATTGGGGTTAAACTGTAGAGTCAACACAACGCAAACAGGAGATGGTTTGAATTATGCAAGAGGAGTTTTGGCAAGGAGATTACTGGCATTTGCTTAAATTATAAGTTCAAAATATATATAGGCACACTGATTGGAAAATATTTACTAATAATAAAAATTAAGTAAATTCGAGGGTCCGTTAAAGTGCTCATTGAACAACTTTATTTGCTATCCGTCTTTAAAACTCCGTGAGTATGCGGGCACGTTTTTTAAATATTGGTCGTTGCTTAGAAATAGTTAGGCATGGTAAAGAAAAGAAAAAATAACTAAAACAAATTAAAACAGTCATTGATTGTCTGTGCTTTGGTTTAAAAAGATCAACAATCAATAAATGTATCTACAACTTATATCTTATACTGGAATGATGTACTATATTAATTCAGTTCGTTGCTTTGGTACTTTCAGTTGTTTCCCAGTCCCCATATATTTTCCCACAAAACCCCTTAGCCATGGGCACTCTCACGGGGATTTGATTGGACGGAAGGGTCAATTTTAAGCGCATATTAGTTTTTGCGGTGGCTGAAAAGGGGAGATTCAGGGTTTCAGGGTTTCGAATGCACTCACCTTCCGTTTGGAGCGTGCCATCCGCTGGTCGCGGGAGGACTCCGCCTCGCCTGGCGGTCTCTTTCCCCAGACGCGGATGGTGATCCGGGTGTAGGTGAAGATGAGCACACCCAGCGGCACGACGAACTGCAGCGCGAATAGGGACAGGGTGTAGTAGTACTCCTGCGTCCGCGATGGCCAAATCTCGCGGCAAATGTATCTGATGGATGCACGCGCATAAAGGACATCACATGCAATGAGGGGACAGAGACGGGTAGCAGTGCATTAGTTTGAAGTGGTCAGCTCTGGTGGTCACCCAGAATCTGCTGTCACAGAAGGACACCCGCATATGCGCTCATAGACTCTCGGTTGAGTGCACAGTTTCATTTTAATGCCAAGCCCTTCAGGCTGTTGCAAACAGTTTGCTCCTGCAAAACCTTTTCTCATTATTCTCATTTCAGGTGAGTTTCAGTTGCATCTATGTCAAGTTTCGCGATACAACATAATAACCACTTTCAGTCTAATATTAGCAATGACTTGTAGAACGTGGCCGGCATGCATATGATTTAAATTGTTTGTGTGGGAAGGTGCTTAAATGTGCGTAATACATTAAATATGCTCTCCACTTGACCTCCATGAACCCAGCACCCTTTGCTCTTTGTACGGCCAGCTTTTAGGCATAATCGTCTTGACACGGAGATACAAATGCAAAGTAGGAAAAACACTCGCCAAAATTAAATTTCTAAAAATGTATCTGTTAAATATACCACAAACTTCTCATAACTAAGAATTGATGAAATAAATGTTCTTCTCCGCATGTGAATAATATCAGTCCATAATAATCGGTCACATTTTGTTACTTTTGCTTGGTGCTTGAAGTGGTGGTACTTACTTCTCACATTTCTCGTGCCAGGGCGACATGGGGATCTCGAGTCCAGAGACGATGGGTATGGGCAGTGCTGTGGCAAGTGCGATGAACCAAACGCAGCCGATGATGTAGGTAGCATAGCTGCAAAAAATGGGTTGTTGAGTTGAATGTTGGTTATTTTCGACATATTGTACGCTTCTTTTGTATTCCAACGTTTACTCTTATAAAATGTTGCACTTACTCCCGATTCAACGGGGCGTATGAGTGATGCTGTGTGTTGATGGAGCTCGGTTTGTTTTGGCTCAAGGAGCGCTCCTCTGTAGCTGCGTGCTGATAAATTGCAGTCATGTTGAATAATTACTAGCCTTATTGACGTTATGTCCCCGCAAATATTTGCAGAAGCCACGAAGGATGACTTTCGTAGCCCACAACTACTATCAAACACAGTCACGCACCCGCAAACATTGACGTCAGCTGGATTTCCATTTGGACAACACAGCAAAAAGCGAAGTTCAGTTTGCAAAGCTAATAAAATCTTAGCTTAAAACGGACATTCCTTCAAAAATAATTTGTAATGTTATTTAATTTATTTTATTGATTTACTTTAGAAGAACTAACTTATTTGAATAATTTGAATTTTTCTCTGTGCACATAATATATAACAGACATTAAAAGTCGTCCGAGCGTGAAATACTCATGCCAGCTCTTGAACTCGGCGGAAAATGAGATGGATGTCAGTGGATGGACACCGAGGGTTGGCGGATTTTCCGAGGGAAACCCGTTGTATTCAGTTACCAAGCAAATTGACGCATGGCTTGGATTTGCTGGGTCTCGGATTACCATATAAGCCAATCAACACTGTGAGCCGTCTTGCTAAAAGCCTACCGGTACGCCATTCCCTGGGGATCGCAGCTTAGGTCAAGTGGTCAAAGTGGACACAAAAGTAAATACCACAGTGTCCACTTAGCGCTGACTAGACACGCCAATGTGCAAACTCTTGGCAAACGCTTGTGGAGAAAGTACTTAAATTCATGGCTTTTCTATTTTCCTAGTTGATGAACACCTTTATTTGGCTTACTGCAAATAGTTACGGCTATATAAATTTATTACGCGAATAAAAGTGATAACATTAAAAACGAATTTCATTTCAATGCCAAACTAATGGTAAGAAAAAAGTACATGAAATAAATTCACACCGAAATTATCATTTAATTTTCCCTACTTTTGAATATTCTTCTTCTGTATGCAATTAATCTGCTATGAATAAAGTCGTAATTAACTTTATTTGAGGACTTACCGTTTTGTGATGCGTGGCTTTAGTGGCCACATGATGGCTATGTATCGGTCGATGCTGATGGCCACCAAAGTATAGGCGCTAACCAGAACGGAGACCGCCTGCGAGTAATTCACGAAGTGGCAGAGGGCCAGGCCGAAAGGCCAGTAGTTCAGGATAAACAGCGAGATGAAGGACGACGGAACGCAGAAGACGGACATCAGGACATCGCCCACGGCCAAGCTGGCTATAAAGTAATTGGTGACCGTGCGCATTCGCGGTGTGGACTGGACGATATAGCAGACCGTTCCATTGCCGATCAGAGCGAAGATGAAGATGGGAATGTACAGCATGTAGACGATGCTCTTAAAGTAGCCACTGGACCACATGTCCTCCGATTGAAGCTCATTGCGGTCGCAGCTGAAGTTCATCATTACAGTGATATTATAGGTCTCCAACTGGAGGCCACTGAGCGTCGTTGTGGAGCCATAACCATAGTTAGACTCTTCATCGCCCGACGGCAGTGCAGTGGTATTGTAAACAAGGGATGCAGCGTCCGGCAGGCTGAGGGATCCCTCCTGGTAGTCATCCTCCTCGTTTCGCAGCAGCGGCTGCTGGGGAGCTATGTAGAACATCTTCTCGCTACCCCCAGTCAACCGATGGCTATTGTGGAGCTCCATTCAAGCGCGTCAATGGGCGGAAGTCAAACTCTTAGGCCAAGTTGAAGTCGTGGAAAACTTTGTTCAGCATTCTGGGCAAGAATCCTTTACGGTTAGCAGCCAGCCTGCAAGTGAAATTTAATTACATCAGTTTTTAAAATATGTGCTGCACTACATTGCGGCTACTTAATAATTCATTTAATATAATGGAACGAAAAACATTGCATACTTTTGGGCGCCTGTCAGTATAAGAGTTTCTCGCTTAAGCTAATTTTAAAAAACTTTTTTTTTTTTTTTTTTTTTTTTTATTGTAGTTTATTAAGATATACAGGATAGCTATGAACCCTTTTATTACCTTATTTTCTATTGTTTCTGCCAATTGGCGCTCCGGCTATAGGGAATATTTAATATAGCTTTTTCTAGTTTGGTCTAATACTCTCATGTTGTTTTATAATTAATGTTTAGCTATTAAGCTATTGTTATCTTAGCACTAAGTCTCTTGGTTGACGTCTTTTGATCCTCTGCCTCGGTCGAGTAATGGTGAGATCATTAGCGAGACGATTCCTGTGGTTCATCAGTCTTGAGTTGTACCGACTGGAGTGGAAGTTGATTTGTTGTAGTACCGTAACTAGTTTTAGGTCCCTATGTAGCACGCTATTTCGAATGTACCACTCACAGCCTGTAATTTGTCTCGCTATTTTGTTCTGGGCCACCTGAATTTTTTTGATTTGGCTATCTCTTGCTATCCCCCAGATTTGGCAACCATATTGCCAGATGGGAGCAATGACCTGCTTGTATAGGGTGAGCTTATTTCGGGTGGAGAGTTTACTGTTGCTTCTTAGGAGCCACCAGTGCTTTGTCACAGCTGCTCTCACCCTTGTTTTGATGGCTGCTATGTGGGGAGCAAATGTGAGCCGGCGATCTAATGTTATGCCAAGATATTTGGCCGTACTACACTGCTGTACCATCTCCTCACCTAGTTGAACAGCAGGTGGTGTTTTCCTCCTTAGTGAGAAGCACACGTTAGCTGACTTTTGACCATTTATGCCAATATTCCATCTTCTTGCCCATTTCTCGTACCTGTCAGCGTACTCTTGTAGGCCGTCTGCTGCTTCATATTCGCAGGATGATCTGTAAGTAACACAGACGTCATCGGCGAAAGTGGCTAGAGTCATCCTGTCAGGGTTGGCGTCCATACTAGCATTTGGCTGCGGCATATCGTTGGTATACAGACAGTACAATAATGGACCCAGTACACTTCCTTGAGGCACTCCTGCACTGACCTCATGTATCCCTGAGGTTGCGGAGTGGAAACGTACTGCGAACTGCCTATTCGCCAAGTAGGACCGCATTAGCAAGTAATACGGTGCTGGTAGTGTCATTTTTATTTTGGCCAATAGGCCAATATGCCAGACTCGGTCGAATGCTTCCTTAATGTCCAAAAAGAGCGCATTGCAGTATTCTTTCTCATCGTAGGCTTGCAATATTTGGTCAACGATGCGGTGCAGTTGTTCTATTGAACTGTGACCTGCACGAAATCCAAATTGGTGATCAGGGATGGCTCTTCTGGATGACATTATCCCAGCAATTCGGGCAGAGATAAGTCTCTCAAAGATCTTCGAGATTGATGGGAGGAGACTGATTGGCCGGTAGGATGCTGGGTCACTCTCTGGCTTTCCGGGCTTGTGGATCATACTCACTAAGCCAAATTTCCACTGGGCAGGGAAGTAATGCAACCTCAACATAGCGTTGAAGATCAACGTTATGTAAGAGATCGCGTGAGTAGGCAGCGCCTTCAGAGTAGCGTTGCAGATGATGTCGTGGCCTGGTGCTCTTTTAGAGGATTGGCGGTTTATGATCGCTGATATCTCACATTGGTCGAACGGGAGAATCGGTGCATCCATTTGCAGCGCTTGCTCGAGGACTTCCTGCGTTTCTTGTTTTTCCTGTTGGCTGGCAAGGTTAAAGGGCTTGAACCGTTCAGCTAAGTGCCTAGCAAACACTTCCGCTTGTTCCTTGTCAGAACGACACCATGTTCCGTTCTCATTAGCTAGTGGTGCCTTCCTGGGGCACCTCCTTTTTATACTACGCGTCGCTTTCCATAGAGAATGCCTCGCTTCGCTTCCAGTACCAGTGTTGGTAAGCCTCTCGTCGAACCATGCAGCTTTATGGTCCACCAGTTTCTTACGGAGAATATGTTGAGCTCTGTTCCACTCTAATTTGTCTAGAGGGTGGCGGGACCTCATCCATCTTGTCCGAAGTCGTCTCTTTTCAGCAATTAAAATAAGAATTTCCCGTGTGAGGGGTATACCTGCTGCTACGGGTCTCTGTGTCAACGTTCGTGTAGCTGTTATGGCTGCCGATTTCACCTTTACAGCAAATAGGTTGATTGCGTCCTCAATATCTTCTTCTGAGTTGATTTCTATATCAAGATACAGAGATTGCTCTAGAAGACCGCAGAACATTTCTAAGTTGGTGTGTCTGGTTATCAATCGATCTGCTGTAGGATATGTCAATGCTGTGACATCCAGCGTTATGATAAGAGGCAGGTGATCAGAGCTGAGATCAGGAGCCGATGTTATGGAAGCATGAATATCGAGAACGCCTTTCGTTACTGCAAAATCAATGCAGCTTGGAGTTCCTCTCCTACCGTACGGATACCGAGTAGGACTGCCTGTAGCCAGCGTGTTGACTTCCGTACTAAGAATAAGATCCGCGAGAGCGCGACCTCTTTGATTGCATCTTCCTGAGCCCCAGAGCCAGTGAGATGCATTCCAGTCTCCTGCAATTATAAATTTTCGATGATTTAGCGGTAGTATGTCAGCAAATTCATTTGTTGTCCATGTGAAACGAGGAGGACAGTAAATCGCACCAAAGTCGATCACACCAAGCGCTGTGTTTATTCCTGCAGACGCTATTTGTACTTTTTCGCTGGTAACAGGGCTCAGAGGATAATGCACCAAGCTAGATTTTATAAAGATCGCAGCTCCTCCTCTAGCATTGCCAACACTTGGATCATTAGCTGGATATGCATCAAAACCATATATTTTTGGCACAAAGTTTCCTCGGCAGTGAGTCTCACTAATTAGTATGACATCGATCTTATTTTGTCGCGCAAAGCACTCAAGCTCTGGCAGCTTCGTGGAAACGCCATCGGCGTTCCACATTAGAATGCGCAGCGGCATCATATTGTTGATCGTTGCGCTTGGAGGGCAGCAAGCAAATTAAGAATTTGCCCCTGCTGCTGTGTCTGCTGTTGCTGCTGTTTGAGCATCATCATCATCATCTCCGTCTGTTTATCCTGTAACGAGCGGAGTGAATCGATATTTCCATTGAGGGTTCGCATCATGTTTTCAATGTTATTTTCAAGAGATGAGTGATATGCCGTATTTCGGGATCTCGATGCTGAACGGTTGCGGTTGTTGTCTCGTTGAGCTGCAACTCGAGATCTCGATGTCGAGCGGTTGCGGCTGTTGGTTCGTTGGTTTATGTTTGGGTTGTTCTGCTGTTCATGTTGAGAGACATGCACGCCTCCCCTAGCTGCATCTGCATAGGAGACACCTTGACGAGTGGCTACTCTTGGTCTGCTCCTAGTTTGATCATTTGTCTCGGTTTGGCTATTCACAGTAGGCCGAGCTCCAACTCCACGCTTGGGCCGAGATCGTTGCAGGAACGCCTGGTATTTGGGGCACCCTGAATAGCTTGCAGGGTGCTGTTGTCCGCAATTGTAGCACGTGCACGGTTCACTGCGCGGCCTAGTACAGTTGCTGGCAGCGTGCTCGCCAGCACATTTGACGCAAATATGCGCTTTACGACAGTATTTAGCCGTATGGCCAAACTGTTGGCATCGATGGCATTGCACAACAGCATTGCGCTTTCGGAGGGGCTCAACGATAACCCGCATATGGCAAAGTGCCTTGACTAGCAGGATCTCCTTATTATTGGCCGCGGCGGCAATATTCACGAAGAACATATTTACCGGCTTGGCTACAGGGGTGCCTGGCTCACTGCGCCTCTGGGGCAGATGGACGTCAAGCACCTTGTGTCCGAATTTTTCCAGATCCTCCTTAATCTGGCTATGAAGCGTGCTGTGGTGTAAGCCTTTAATGCAGACTTTAAACGGCCTATCTTCCTTCAGTTGGTAGCAATGGAATTCATATTTTTCCTGCTCAAGCCAACTGACAATGCTACGAAAAGTGGTAGCGTCATTTGCATAGAGTCTCATCATACCGCCAAGTGAAGCCCTAGCTTCAACTTTATTTATGTCAATTATTTTCCTGAGTTCTTGCATGAGCAGAGAGACGTTTTCAATACCTTCCATCACTATGGGCGGTGGTTTGGGCTGCGTCTTGTTGGGAGAACCTGAGGTGCCAGGAGAGTTAGCGGCCCGCTTCGCCGCAGCAATGGCAGCTTGATGACTTGTACTAGGCCTCTCACATAGCACGTCGTTGGCGTTCTCAACTTCCATGTCATCTGGGTGAAGCGCTAGCAATTCGAAACGGTTTGAGCTGCCACTATAGTTCGATTGAGGTATGGGAACGTTATCACCGTTCTTGCCGAGGTTAGCTTTTTTCCCATCAGTCTTTGGGGAGGCGCATGACTTGCGCTTTATTGTTTGAAAGCGCTGCGAGGCTTCACCTGAAGCAGGGCTTTGGTAGCGCGAGGCGGTTCCTGATGTGGACCCATTGACGCTCGAAAAAGCAGATGCCAATGAAGCTGCTGTGGCGGCAAAATCGGATACTTGTAGAGTATCATTATCTGAGGGCGCGTTGACGGCATTTCTAAGTTCCTCTCCTAGAACTGCCTTGTTCTTATTAGTAGCACTAGTAGTCGTTGACTGCGGCTTGTCAAATTGTCCGGGTTTCATCGCACGCCTAAGAGTATGCAATAATATCAATTGATCTTGGGGCAGAATAGAAACTAAAAGCTTCTATCTGATACATAGGCCAGAACTTATCTGCTGCTGGAACCAAATGGTAAGCTCCTCACAGATGTTTGTTAAGCTTTCCAACGGATGTTGTGTTAAGCTTGCCGGCACGTGGCCGTTGGACAGCGGAGCACAATTTA